TCATAAAGGCAAAAGGTCCTATTGAGATGAACTAGAATAAAAGAATATCACAAGCAAGTGGATAAAACAGTACTCAATGCATGTGAGAAAACATAAACAGAGAAATGTAATGCTGGCCTTATATAACACCTACATAAGTTAACTTCTGTGGTTTAGAGAAAGATTAGTATTTTTTAATTTATACTTCATTATCTAAAACTATAATTTCTCAAAGTTTAAGTTTGCATGAAATTGATTATTAAGAGGTATATTAGCATACTAGAAGTGTAGCTCAAGTAGCCATGAGCAAGAAAGCTGACCAAGGAACCAGGAGCCAAGGTTTTGAACTCAAACGCCATACATACACTCACACACACACACACACACACATACACACACACACTCATGCACAGAAGTGTATTAGGTTTTGTTGTTTTGGTTTTATTTTATGCCAGTCCTGGGGCTTGAACTCAGGACCTTGGCACTGTTCTTGAACTTCTTTTACTCAAGACTAAAGCTCTACCACTTGAACCACAGAGCCATTTCTGGCTTTTTTGATATTTTTAATGGGGATAAGAGTCCCACAGACTTTACTGCCCTGGTTGGCTTCAAACCATTCAGATCTCAGCCTCCTGAGTAGCTGAGATTACAGGCATGAGCCACCTGTGCACAGCTGTGTATTAGGTTTTTATTTTTTGATTTCATGTATTTTTATTTGCCCAATTTTTTATTATTAATAAGTTTTTTATTGTGAAAATACTGTACAGAGTGGTTACAATTACATGAGAATGATCATGAGTACATTTCTTTAACAAGTATTGTTGCCTACTTTGTTTACGCTTACCATCCCTGCCCTCCCATTCCCCCCTCCTCCCCCCCCCACGCCCGCCATTAAAAAAAAATATCATAAAGTTGAACTGGGAAGGTGGCTTAGTGGTAGAGTGTTTGCCTAACATGAAACCCCAGGTTCAATTTCTCAGGATCACATAAACAGAAAAAGCTGGAAATGGTGCTGTGGCTCAAGTGGTAGAGTGCTAGCCTTGAGCAAAAGAAGCTCATAGACACTGCCCAGATCCTGAGTTCAAGCCCCAGGATTGGCAAAAAACAACAACAATAACAACAACTAAATAAATAATGAAAAAAACCCCAAAACTCATAAAGTTACTATTACATAGTTCTGTCACTCAAACATTTGACCAAACAAACTCCAGGCCATTGTCTATGCTTTGGGACCCTCTTCATCTCTCTTAAAAATCATTAGCTTTCTTTTTTTTTTTGTGCAGTCGTGGGCCTGAACTCTGGGCCTGGGCACTGTCCCTCAGCTCTTCAGCTCAAGGCTAGCGCTCTACCACTTGAGCCACAGCGCCACTTCTGGCTTTTTTTCTT